CATTCTGAAAAGGTGGAAGCTTGTAGTTTATTGTTTATTAGAATGCGAAATCATAAAATGACTGCTACACGACTGATTTCAGAGCGACCGCCGGATTTATACTTGTTGTCAAACTTATGGCCTAAATATTCTCCCACGTCATAAAGGCACCTTGGCTTTCAAATTTATTTTATTTTATGAGTATATATATAAGACTAAACCTTATTTTCATATCCTTAAAACGAAACATTATCAAAACTATTTATCTATTATAGAAAATCACTCTTTAGCTCGTAGCAAGAATGATATTGTTTACACATTATCGCTGCTAAAATATACAAAAAATTTGTAAGATGTTTTTGAAGGACTAAAAACTATCAGGTCTAACTGCTAGTTAGTTTCAGTTTATAGACCATAATATGAAAATAAACAAGACTGGAGCCAAATTTGTTTGAACACCCGTAAAGGATGTTATAAAAGTGTACTTATCGCTTAACGACGATATAATATTTAACGACTGCTTAAATCATTCAGTGTATATTATTGCGCTAAATTATGTTCAAAACAAATTAAGATTTTAACCTTTGATCACAGTGGAGTTTATTAATATTTTGTGATTTATTTTAAAAAACCTTTTTTAATCAGCACTAGGCTTGGCTTTTAGATTACTCTGAAGTATTTTGTATTGGTCAGCATACAAAGCGGTCAAAGATCGATAGATTGATAGTAGTATGATAGGGAAGAAATGAATAGTAAAAATAAGAATACCTCATTAAGAAGAATAACAAAGGTAGTAGATGTCACAATCAAAATAAACTTAAGTGGAAATGGCGGGGCACATGGCAAGAGGACCAGAAAAGTGGAGCAAGAAAGTATTAAAATGGTGCCTAGGGTACAATAAACGCAAAAAAGGAAGACAACTTAGAAGGTGGATAGACCATACAGGACATGTCAGAGAGTGGCACAGTGCAGACATGAATAGCGGGAGGCCAGGAGGAGGAGGCCTTCGCTAAAAAATTTTTTTTTTTTTTTTTTTTTTTTTTTTTTTTTTTTTTTTTTTTTTTTTTTTTTTTTTTTTTTTTTTTTGGGGGGGGGGGGGGGGGGTTTTTGGCCCCCCCCCAAACCCCCCCCCCCCCCCCCCCCCCCCCCCCCGGGGGGGGGGGGGGGGGGGGGGGGGGGGGGCGCCCCCCCCCCCCCCCCCCCCCCCCCCCCCCCAGCCGGGGGGGGGCGCGCCCCCCGCGGCGGGGGGGCCCCCCCCCCCCCCCGCGCGCGGGGCGCCGGCCGCCCCGCGGGCGCGCGGGCGGGCGGCGCCCGCCGCGGGCGGGGCGGGGCCGGCAGCGGCACCGGCGGGGGCGGCACGGGGGCCAGGGGGGCCGGGAGGGGGGGGGGGGGGCGGGCACACCCCCCCGCCACCCCCCCCCCCCCACCCCACCCCGACGCCCCCCCACCCCAGCGCCCGGCCCGGGGGCGGGGCGGCCCCGGCCCCCCCCGGGGCCCCGGCGGGGCCCGGGGGGGGGGGGGGGGGGGGGGGGGGGGGGCGGGCCCCCCGCGGGCGCCCCCCCCCCCCCCCGCCCCGCCGGCCGCCCGGGGGGGGGGGGGGGGGGGCCGGGGCCCCCCCCCCGCGGGGGGGGGGGGGGGGGGGGGGGGGGGGGGGGGGGGGGGGGGGGGGGGGGGGGGGGGGGGGGGGGGGGGGGGGGGGGGGGGGGGGGGGGGGGGGCCGCGGGCGGGGGGGGGGGGGGGGGGGGGGGGGGGGGGGGGGGGGGGGGGGGGGGGGGGGGGGGGGGGGGGGGGGGGGGGGGGGGGGGGGGGGGGGGGGGGGGGGGGGGGGGGGGGGGGGGGGGGGGGGGGGGGGGGGGGGGGGGGGGGGGGGGGGGGGGGGGGGGGGGGGGGGGGGGGGGGGGGGGGGGGGGGGGGGGGGGGGGGGGGGGGGGGGGGGGGGGGGGGGGGGGGGGGGGGGGGGCCGGGGGGGGGGGGGGGGGGGGGGGGGGGGGCGGGGGGGGGGGGGGGGGGGAGGGGGGGGGGGGGGGGGGGAGGGGGGGGGGGGGGGGGGGGGGGGGGGGGGGGGGGGGGGGGGGGGGGGGGGGGGGGGGGGGGGGGGGGGGGGGGGGGGGGGGGGGGGGGGGGGGGGGGGGGGGGGGGGGGGGGGGGGGGGGGGGGGGGGGGGGGGGGGGGGGGGGGGGGGGGGGGGGGGGGGGGGGGGGGGGGGGGGGGGGGGGGGGGGGGGGGGGGGGGGGGGGGGGGGGGGGGGGGGGGGGGGGGGGGGGGGGGGGGGGGGGACGGGGGGGGGGGGGGGGGGGGGGGGGGGGGGCCCCCGCCCCGGGGGGGGGGGGGGGGGGGGGGGGGGGGCCGGGGGGGGGGGGGGGGGGGGGGGGGGGGGGGGGGCCCCCCCCCCCCCCGGGGGGGGGGGGGGGGGGGGGGGGGGGGGGGGGGCGCGGGGGGGGGGGGGGGGCGCCGCCCCCGCCCCCGGGGGCGGCGGGGGGGGGGGGCCCGCCCGGGGGGGGGGGGGGGGGGGGGGGGGGGGGGGGGGGGGGGGGGGGGGGGGGGGGGGGGGGGGGGGGGGGGGGGGGGGGGGGGGGGGGGCCCCGGGGGGGCCCCCCCCCCCGCCCCCCCCCCCCCTTGGGGGGGGGGGGGGGGAAAAAGGGGGGGGGGGGGGGGGGGGGGGGGGGGGGGGGGGGGGGGGGGGGGGGAAAAAAGGGAAGAGGGGGGGGGGGGGGGGGGGGGGGGGGGGGGGGGGGGGGAAAGGAAGGGGGGGGGGGGGAGGGGGGGGGGGGGGGGGGGGGGGGGGGGGGGGGGGGGGGGGGGGGGGGGGGGGGGGGTTGGGGGGGGGGGGGGGGGGGGGGGGGGGGGGGGGGGGGGGGGGGGAGAGGGGGGGGGGGGGGGGGGGGGGGGGGGGGAGGGGGGGAAAAGGGGGGGGGGGGGGGGGGGGGGGGGGGGGGGGGGGGGGGGGGGGGGGGGGGGGGGGGAGATGTGGGGGGGGGGGGGGGGGGGGGGGGGGGGGGGGGGGGGGGGGGGGGGGGTTTTTTTTTTTTTGGGGGGGGGTTTCTTTTTTCCCCCCCCCCCCCCCCCCCCCTTTCTCGCCCGGCCTTTTTGGGGGGGGGGGGGGGGGGGGGGGGGGAAATTTCCCCCCCAAAATTTTTAAAAAGGCGCGAAAAAAGTACAAAAAAAGTCACAAACATTGTGTAAATAAATATGGACTATGTAACTCAGAGATCATGTATTCCCATAGTGAAATAGTTTTTTAAATGTCTTCAGTTGTTATTTAGATTACTCGCTACAAACACAATTATTTGTTGGTATTGTCTTGTGTTTTAACGCTTCCGTGCGTGTGTCATTGAACAAAGACAATTTCTGCCGTGTATATAGTCAGAACGTGATCAAAAGTATCTTTCTTACAAATAATTGTAATATCTTCAATTGAGAATCTATATATATATGAATGAAATACTGTTCGTTTCTCTCTCTAAAACTCGAGAATGTCTGGACGAATTTGGCTATTTATGATCTTGAAATATCGTTGAAGTTCAGAGAAGTTCCCAATAAATACTGTTCCTAGCTGGGAAATATTTGATGTCTTTACCTGTTTAGATATAAAAAAATTGTCCATTGATTGTCAAATATTTATAGATGCCTTCAGAAGTTTGTGTTTCATTGCTGTGATGAGATCAGATCTCTTTGGCCTGTTTAAAAAATGTTGTATTATATTTGTATATTATTATTGACACAAATATAATATGTTGGTCATACGAAGTGCACCGGGACACTAGTATAAATAAAACAATGCTTTATAGGATAATTTATTAAAAAATGAATTTCAATTAAGGCACTCGAGCCTATGGCCATTTCTACTATCACATGAACATACATATGTTTGAAAAATAATACTATCAGCAATTTGTACAATAGTGGCAGTATATTCACAATATAATAGACACCATTGATTCAGCATTGGATCGTGGCTTAATATATAATACGCAAAGAGATTTAAACTATACAGGGGAAAATTGTCGTAAGCTTTCCTAGAAGTTATAATCGGTAAACTATTTTTTTACATGTAAGTGACAAGTATGTTTTTGTGTTAATGAAAATAAAATAAATAAATCAGTGCCGCCACCTCTTTAGGTCTGGGCCTCAGATGTCTGAATCTGTTTCATGATCATTTGTCTTATAGTCAAGTAGGCAATCAGCCTCCTGTGCCTGACACACGCCGTCGAACTTTTGGGTCTAAGGCAAGCCGGTTTCCTCACGATGTTCCTTCACCGTTCGAGCGAATGTTAAATGCACATATAGAAAGTCCATTCGTGCTCAACCGAGAATCCAACCTACGACCTCAGGGATGATGATGATTTTTAATGAGAATATTTTTTTTAAAACCTAAACGATATTACTTAAATTATCTTGCAATTAATTATATTAAAACTCGTATTGCTTGCTATCACCAGGAACGTCCTCGTGTCAATCATAGAACGAACACGTTTTAGCTTTTAATACTTCATCAAATTAACGGAAGTAGAAAATTATACCGGCGGTATGACATGATTTTTTTCCGTTTATGCTTAAATCTCTTTGCTATTCTCTATATACAATGATATATGTATTAAGAATCCATTTCTAATAGCATAGAGTATGGAAATCGTACGAAAAATACCTCATTAGTTAACGACTGATTAAAGTATATATTAACTGTTTTAAATTCCGATTACAAGGCAAACTTCAATTGGTTAACACTTTTGGTGATATTAAATTTTTAAAAAAAATCTCAACAATATTCAAGACTAGTATATTTCGCTTATTTGAATTAATCTAAAATTCATTTTTCCTTAGAAAATGAAATCTCAAAGAATTTGCAATTCTTTTGCGTTAAACATTTGTTTGAATGTTTTCTAAAATACCAAAGAAATTCAAATTTATTTAATTTACATACTTTACATAATAAATGAAATCGTTTTATACGAATATGTTATTACATAATGCCACTGTTGCTTATAATTAAAATAAATTAGGGTGTTTTCATTTCCGGGAAATTATGGAGTTGCAGCCACCTGAAAAACAAAAATTCTCTTAGTTTTTTAGATCAAAGTCCAAGTCAAAGTCAAAATAACTTTATTCATATAGGTAAACAAGTACACTTATGAACGTCAGAAATAAGTTTAATTAATTGTAAGTTTACACTTACTACCAGTGCGCAAGTCAAGGGCGTAGAGCGGGCAATAAGAACTGGCAAGAAACTCACCGCAACTCATTTTAATCACCAAGTTTTGAGTACTACAAATTGTTTGAACTGACTGATGATTAGGATCATTTAAATATTCGTCAAATTTATAAAAAGCTTTAGATCTGTTGGGATGATCAATTTTTATTATGTGGTAAACTTCAATAAATAAATAAAGTTTAGAGCGTCCTCTTTCTCCGTTCCATTCTCCGAGCTTTCCTCCGTTCGTTTGAGTCTCGACAATGCACCAACGTTTCTACTTCGTTGTATAAAATTAAGTCAAACAATTATCTTAAGAAAAATTAAATAACTATAACGGTCCAGCAATAATGGTTGAAATAAAAATACTTACAACCAACAAATTACCGCTTTTAGCCCTTTGTATAGCGGGTTGTGGGCCGTGGGTCACTTCAATAGTTCCGCCTTGTTTGCCATTCACCAGGTCATGGGCAATGCTAGAACACATATGTACCATTCAACAATAATTATCTCTAAAATTTAAATATTCCTACAAGATATATAAACTCTCCGCCAATCTCTAACATATAATATCTTAAAATAATAATTCAATTCAGTCCGTGTCATACAAACACAAAAGCCTAATATCGAAGTTTACCCAAAACGAAGCGATGAATTCTATGTAAAAAAAAGGAAATTATTATTATATTTATACAATTCCCAGTCTCTCTTTATACACTTTTTCTTTTCTATAAACTTTCCATGACCCGTTGAGAATGATATGCAAATATTTAAAAAACATAATATTTATATATCTTATGTTATTAGTCGGCATCTGTTTCGTAAGTTTTGACGAATACTTACGTCCTAGTGTCGACAATTTCTATGATTTCCGGTTTTTTGGTATAATCCGTGACGATTGTCAACGCCTCTATCACGTGCGATACTGACATTATTAGATCACCCTGAAAAAAAATGCATTTAATTAATTGTCAATTGATTAGGTAATAATACGAGAGCTCACGGCTAAAGTTAAATTTTTTACACGAATATATGAAATTATTATCGGTCTATAACGCAAGATTTTAGTGGATCCATTTGGATAGATTTTTCACATAATCGGTATTAATAATAAAATTTACATATGTAAAATATTTCTTTTATTTTTTAAGAAATTATATTTTATATTATATATCAATTTTTTAAAAGTGTTATTTAAGTAAAAAAACTACATTAATTTAAGTGAGTAAATTCTATCATTTGGCACAATTTTCCTAAAAGCAAGACTCGCAAGGTATAATACATATTTGTTACACATAAACTTAATACATAGATATAATTGAACTAGAAATTATGTTAACAGAAACAAACAAATAAAAACACTGTCAACTTAGAAAAGAAGAAAAGAGAACTTTATCAAGAAGCGTGTTTTCATCTTTGTGCAATTTTAAGGAGAATTGCGCGGATAATAAACGTGAAATTTGACACAGTTTATAAGGATGGCATAAAGATATATTACAAAACAGAAATACGCTAAATTAATTAAAATAAACATTACGAATTGACAGGTCGTTTATAATTCATATTCCATAAACAATAATTAAATTTTAATTAGAAAAAGCATGCTATTAAAAACTTAAAAAGGCTTTTAAGTTTACCTTATCTTTCTTCAGCTCCTGCGGTATCTTAATCAACACCAAGCTATCAGTTTCGTTGGTAACAATGACTCTCAACTTGTCAAGGGGTAATCTGTGCTTCAATTTGTACATCTTCCGACCAGCTGCATCCAAAACATAAAGCGCCTTGTCGGACGCCAGTAAAGCTCGCTCGCGGGGTTTGTACCCACGCCGGTCGTATTTCACTGCTTCACAAGAGTACTGTAATAACAAAATATAACATAGACTACACAAATTCTACAAAAAGCAACATCTAGCACACAAGAACCTCCTTGTATGGAGACCTCCGCAGAACAAAAGACTGCGCTGTCGCCTACCAACTAGGTGGACTGATGACTAAGTAGGTTAGCTCCTAGTGAATGGACTTTGGAGGGCGTACTGTAGGAAGATAGGGGATGCCTACGTTTAGAAATGGACCAAAAAAAGAGGTTGTTGAAGATGACGATACAAATTCTCGACCAAATAATGTGTATTTAAACTGATAAACACGTAAATAATCTAAAAAAAGTTTATTATGGAACATAAGATACAGGTATCACTTATCCCACGCCATTAAATTTGAATAGGTTGACATCCCTACTCATCGGCAAAGAAGACAGAGGGTGTAGGCCGAGAGAAAAGCCGGCGTAAAAAACGTTCGGTACTTTTTAAAAATAGAAGAAATCATCAAACAACACTTATATTAAAACAAATATCGCAAATTAATTAGAAGTAGCATGTCTGGCACTAATCCCAGGCCTTTTTATCAAGTAGATAATCGTTAACATTATAGTAAGCTTTTTACGTTTAAGTTTTTTTAAATTTATTAAAAGGCAGAGATAAAAGAGCGTTTGGGATTTTATTAAAGAAGAGTATTCCTTTTCCCAAAAAAGAATTACTCACTTGAGATAGTCTAGTACAGGGAAATTGCATAAGCAGTAAGCACACACAGTATAGCGATAAGTTTAATATTTGAAAGTTCTATCTTTTTTATCATTACATTGACTCCCGACTCGGATTCTGGATCCGCCCTTGTGTCATAGAAGTCTCTTCCATATCCCTTTTCCCTATCTTACCATTTAATTTCACAAATGATATGTGCAGTAAAAATTAAAGAACAAGAAAATCTTACAATAAGTTGTTCCCCAGTGGGCCAAGACGGTGACGCCATGAATGTATTTCTCAAGACCCGATGCTCGTCCGTAAGACGATCTTCAACGAACCGCTCGGGGATACTGCTGGAGTAACTGTGCTTTTTATCTGGAATTATTATTATTAGTTTTAACGGTACGGTAGTTCGGTAAAGGAAAACATCGTGTCTGGTGTCAGGCACAGAATGATCACCTTATGAAACATAAATTACGAAACAGATATAAAAATCTGAGGCCCAGACCCAAAAGGTTGTAGCGTCACTGGTAATTTAATTATTATATTTCAAGGAAAAATAGAGGCGTGCCTCGGCTTCGCACGGCTGGAAGTCAAAGTCAAAAATAATTTATTCATATAGGTAATACAATGTACACTTATGAACGTCAAAAAAAAATCTTTGTATATTATTTATATGGAATTAACTGGTAGTAGAAGAATGCATACACAACATACAAACAGCTGAAGTGGAGGTGGACAGGGCATATGATGAGAGAAAAGCAAGAAAAGTGGACAAAACTTATCACAGAATGGTACCCTTTGGACGGAAAGAGACATAGAGGAAGACAGGCTAAGAGATGGGAGGATGACATTAAGAAAATAGCGGGTTCAACATGGACTCGCACTGCAAAAATGAGAAAAGACTGGAGAGCCTTAGAGGAGGCCTTTGTCGGAAGACAAGTTGTAATCGAACTACCGTTTGCCGATAATTGATAGATAGTAAAATTGTTAGTATATTAGTTAAACTCTAGTTAATAATCAAAATGTGTTTTTTAGTCATAAGTAAATTAATTTTAGGCACAAGAAACTACTCTGTGTAAAACTTGTTAACAACAATAAAGGCTTTTTATTTTTATTTTATTAACTGGTAGTAAATGTAGAATTAGAATCAATTTAACATCTTTTCTGTTGACGTTCATAAATGTTACCTATATGAATAAAGTTATTTCGAGTTTGAGTTTGCAGTATTTTAGTAATTATTTTATATTGTCTCCTGGTTAGAGACATTATATTTCGAATGTAGTTAAACATTGCTTACCTTTAAACATCTTTTCAGCCAACACCTTCAATTCGAACTGTTTCTTCTCAGACGGTGTCAACGCCAGACGGTATTTCCTGGCCAAATGGGCTCTGTGCAGTCTGTGCAATTCCCTGGAGGCTTCCTGGCAAGTGGCAGGACAATGAGGCCAAGAGAGATCTAGCACTTGAGTTGGCAGTCTCGTTGAGAGACGCTTCAGCCAATGCACTTTGGCGATGGCCAGGAAACGGCGGTTCTCAACAGTTTCAGGTCCATTTCGCGTTATAAAACCTAAAATATATTTGAATTAATGTGATAGTATCGTAAACAAATGCTAAGATTATTTAAAACAAAAACAATGGCGCTACAACCTTTTTAGGTCTGGGCCTCAGATTTTTGTATCTGTTTCATGATCGTTTATCAATCTAATAGGCAAGTTGGTGATCAGCCTCCTGTGCTGCATCCATATTTGTGCTGCAGAAGCGGGCTGTTCGGGGTATTTGTTGTGTTTCTCCGAGGGAGTCGGTACGGAATAAGTTTAAGGAATTAAATATTATGACACTATCTGGTCAATATATTCTTGAAGCCTTGTTGTATGTCCAAAAAAATATAAACGATTTTAAAACAAATGGTGACTTTCACCAGTATAATACGCGAAATAGAACTAATTTGAGTGTACGACCAACCAGGCTCCAAAAGATAAACCACTCCTTATATGGAAATTGTATTCGTTTTTACAACAAGCTCCCAAGCGAAATTAGAGAATTATCACTAAATAAATTCAAAGCCCTCGTTAAACGAAAATTAATCAACAAAGCTTTTTATAAATTTGAGGACTACTTAAATGATCCTAATCCTTGGGATTGAATTGCTCCAGTTCAAACAATTTGTATGACAATACTTGGCGATTAAAAAGAGTGGCGGAAAGTTTCTTGCCAGTTCTTCTTACCCGCTCTACGCCCTTGACTTGCGAACTGGTAGTAAATGTAAATTTACGATTAATTTAACTTGACGATTCAAAAGTGTACTTGGTTACCTACTTGAATAAAGATATTTTGAGTTTGAGTTTGAGAGTTTGTGCCTGAGACACGCCATCGACGTTTTCTATCATCATATTCATCGACATCTAAGGCAAGTTGGTTTCCTCACGATGTTTTCCTTCACCGTTCGAGCGAATATTTAATGCGCACATAGACAGAAAATCTATTGGTGCACAGCCGGGGATCGAACCTACGACCTCAGGGACGAGAGTCGCACGTTGAAGCCACTAGGCCAACACTGCCCGAGATTATTTTCTTTAACTTTATTTATTTCTTTAACAAAATAAGTCTATTACAAAATACTCCAATGCGGCAACTATTTACATCACATACAAAACAAGACATATACTTAGAAAAACAATAATCTTATTGTAATAGTCCAAATATGTATAAGTCCACTACTCTTAGTCAGTTAAAATAAAAGTGTCATACGATTGCACGTGTTATTATTGCAATTATTCATTTCAAGACCCTCAACAATAGTGATCAATTCTCAACTATAACTCCTTAACATATGGTCCAAAATCGACGGAACTTCGCTATGTTCGATAGTTGGCGAACATTGAGAACAATAGATACTCGCATCCTAAGCGATAAGGAATAGTTGGAAGGATTTTTGTGGATGTTTCATTACAGTGTTATAATAACATTATAAAAGTGAATTTAACCTATAAAAACGAAATAAATTACGTTATATATACACCATACTGTGAATACTTTTACCTTGGGCTGTGTCAGTTTTTTTCAGTGGGTCTGAGTAATCGGATAATTACGAACTACGCTCAAAGTCATAGTGTACGATGGAGGGTATTTTGAGTATCAATTTAAGTTGTTGGAGACATTAAGAAGTGCAGAAAAGAATTATAGGAAATCACCGAAAGACAGAATAAAAATACCATATATAGAAACTCGATTAGAAGTTTTAGAACAATTATGGCGGGACTTTAAGGAAGGACACAAAAGTTTAATTTTAAAAAAATCTAAAGACGAAGAAAAGGAAAGTACCTATTTTAAAGGAAATTTAGTGAAATTTTTGATGAGTTATACATTCAGTAAAGTCCACTATGAAGGAGGACTTTCAACACTTAACCAAACAGTCTCCTTTTTCACATACCTCAATAGCGGGTGGCGACGAACAGAGATTATTAAATGATATTAAATTACCGTCAATACAAATACCGAAGTTTGGAGGTAAATATGAAGAATGGACAACTTTTTATGACTTATTTTGCTCCTTGATTCATAACAACAACTTTAACGCCGGTGCAAAACTACATTATCTAAAAAGAATTATCGGGGATGAGAACTATTAATACGCACTTTTCGACTACGGACGCAAACTACGTGAGGCATGGAACCAGTTAGTGAAGTTATAATAATAAACGTTAAATTGCTATGCAATTTTAAAAACATTATTTACACAGAAGATATATGTACGGAGACATGAGTTCAATCAAACAATTGGTAGACACTACGTCGGTATGCTTAAAAACGTTGCAAAAATCTAGGTGTGAAAACCGACACTTGGGATATGATTATTAACTATTTAGTAATATCAAGATGGACTATGAATCAATAAAGAGATGGGAACAACAACTTAGTTGGAGTAATACCGAATTACCTACGTGGACAGAACTGGGTTTCAGAAGTAGATTTGATCGTAGAAATGATAGACAGCAAGAGTAAAATCACCATACCCTAAGCCTGTTGCTCACCTATTGCTAAACCTAAGTCCTTTCATTCAGGTATACACAATGATGTAAAAAAGCAGGAAGTCAAATGTGTGTTATGCAGTGGTGAACACTACATCTATTATTGTAAAGAGTTCGAAACATGTCTACAAAAGAAAAGCAAGAGTTCGTCCAGAGAATAAATTATGTTTTAATTGTCTTGCCCGTCACATTCAGTACGATTCGTCAGAACGTGTTGCAGAAAATGTGGGGTGACTTCATTGACACTACGAGAGAGATCGAAACACGGCGACTACGAGTGAAGGGGAATCCACGTTGACAGGTACCATGACTGAGCAAACCAAAGGTAAGCTTAATTCTATAACAAACGATGTACACTTTGTAACTAACTTTTCCAAGGAAAATTGTCAAATAGTGTCCTATTAGCTACTGCTGAGGATTAGTAGAGAGTAGGAATGGTTGCAAACATATTATTAGAGCATTGTTAGACCAAGGGTCGCAAGACGTTTATAACTGAAGCTGCAGTACAATTACTTAATCTAACGCGCCGATCAGAAGTGGTTGGGTGTATGTGTGGGAGAGGGGCAAATGAGAATCAAAACATGGTTTCATTAGCGTGAAATCTCGCCACGATCCTAAGACAATAATAGAGTGAATGCATATGTATTGCGTTCAGTAACAACACTTCTGCCTTCTACCAAACTTAGTGCTCCTGAATGGTCAGACCTAGAAACTTTAGAGTTGGCTGACTCAGCCTTCAAAACACCTGGAAGAATTGACATTCTTTTGGGAGCAGACGTATACAGTGACATTCTTTTAGATGGTATAATCAAACATCCTAGGGGCAACTTACTAGAAGAGAACATGCCTAGGTTGGGTGCTATCAGGAAAGTGCCTCAAGAAACGGGTTTTCAGTCACAAATTTGCAAGTTTGCATGTTCAACTTAAAGAAGACGAGAGCTCAAGAAATTTTGGGAAATGAGAATGAACCAAATACTATAGAAAAGAGACTATCAAAAGAAGAGGAATTTTGTGAACATTTTTATGACAGTACAACTATAAGAGATGAAGAAGGAAGATTTGTGGTTAAACTACCATTTAAAACTAGAAATCCACAATGAAGGCAAGGAAATCTTAAAGAAATCGCTGAAGAGGTTTGAAATGTTAGAAAAATTTTTATCAAAAACCCGAAACTTAAAGAAGAATACCACAAGGTCATAAACGAATATATAAATTTAAATCATATGGTTGAAATTAGACAGCAGAAATTGAAGTCCCATGCATCTACTCCGCACCACGCGGTACTTCGCGAAGATAAGGAGACGACGAAACTTCGTATAGTTTTGACGCTTGTGCAAAGGAGTTAATAATGTTTTTTAAATGATATTAAGGGTCCTAAGAGAGATTTGGCCAATATTGGTGAAGAGGTTATAAAATTTGCATCAGATGTAATTAAAATGTAAGAATGTAGGGTGTAGAAGATATACAAATTACCAAAGAGTTCTATGGAGATTTAATCCGAGTGAGCCAATAAAACACTACAAGCTTTTAAGATTAACATTTGGGACAGATGTGCGCCCTATCTCGTGTGAAGTCACTCCAGAGGTTAGCTGATGATGAACAATCGAAGTTCCCTGTTGTGCTCATATAACTAAACGTGATTATTACGTCGATGATTTAATGACGCATGTGAGACAGTTGCTGATGTATTAATATATATAATGACATGAGTAAATTAATGAATTTAGGAGGTTTTGAGCTCCAAAAGGAGAGTAACAGTCAAAATGTGCTAAAAAATCGGTGAGAATAAACGAGATGATCATGAACTGCCTCTGAAGGTGAATAACCTAGTTAAGGTATTAGGAGTGAGTTGGAATAGAGACATAGACAAATTCGAATATACTCTAAATGTGCCTATAGTAAAAGAATCTATAACTAAACGGCAGATTCTCTCAGAAGTAGCGAAACTGTATGACCCTTTGGGATGGATAGCCCCTGTGTTGTTATAGCAAGTTAATAATCCAGAAGTTATGGCTTACTGGATTAGATTGGGACAGCACTATAAAGGAGATTTACTGAAGGAATGGTTACAATTTAGAGAAAATTTGATACATATTAAATGCATTAATAACGAGGGGTACATTATTCTTCCACATCTAAGAGATTATGTCTTTGCAGATGCTTCAAGACAGCATATGGTGCATCAGTATACATGCGAGTCATTGAAGGTGATAAGGTTTATGTGAATTTAATATCAGCCAAAACTAAGGTTGCACCAATTACGAAAACAGATTTCAATACCTCGACTGGAATTATGTGGCGCTGTGTTGGCGGCCAAGCTAATTTCTGAAATATCACAAGTGTTAAACATATCTAACGAATACTTACATGCATGGACTGATTCAACCATAGTCCTGGCATGGCTAAGGGGAGGACCTAGTGCTGGAACACGTTCGTAAGTAACCGTGTATTGACATACTAAATATTTTAAATTACGAACAATGGGGACACGTTACTTTGAGATGAACCCGGCCGACTGTGCGTCAAGAGGTCTAAAGCTTTAGATCTATCAGATCACTTACTATGGTGGAATGGACCTGCTGGTATTTTATTAGATGTAATTGAGTATGGTCGACATCGAAGATACAAAGAAGAAGAGAAGATAAAATCTTTAACTGTTTATGTACATCGAAGAAGAATTTATATGTCTAAGTTTTCTAATTTAAATAAATTATTGAGAGTTATTTCATACTGTAGAAGATGGCTAAATTTAAAATCAACTAAAGATAAGCGTCGGTGTTATATAGTTATATTTCAACAAAAGAAATTAATGAATCCTTAGAATTTGCATTAAACAAGTTCAAGGTTTGAATTTAAGGATGAAATGAAACAATTAAAGACTCTGGGATATTTTCTAAAAAGAGTAAACTGCGCAGTCTTACGCCCATTTTCGATGATAATGGGATTCTAAGAGTCAGCGGAAGAATTCAACAGTCACACGTGGAGTACGACACACAGCATCCTATAATTTTACCTGCTAAAAACTATCTTAGCAAACTTATAATTATGGATGCTCATCAGAAAACAATGCATGAGGACCACAACTGATGATAAATTATTTGAGAACAAAATACTGATTCTACGAGCTAAAGATCAAAACAAAGAAATGTTACCGTGAGTGTGTGACTTGCATTAAATACTCGAAACGTAAATCATCACAGTTAATGGGTCAATTACCAGAGGTGCGTGTAACTCCCAATAGACCATTTAAGTCGGTCGGTGGGACTATGCTGGACCTATTAACATCAGATTCTCCCCAGGTAGAGGAGCAAAGTCCTTTAAAGGGTATATTTGCTTGTTTATTTGCATGGCCACACGCGCTATACACTTGGAGGCTGTCACAGACATGACTTCGAAGGCATTCATCGCCGCTTTCAGAAGGTTTACAGCAAGACGAGGCCACTGTCAAGATATCTATAGTGACAATGGCACAAACTTTGTAGGAGCAGAAAAACAATTAACGACAATGTTTAACAGTGCCAAATCTTCAGTGCCTAGTGAAATAGCAGAAATGTTAAATTAGAGCGTACTACATGGCATTTCATACCCCCACACGCTCCTAATTTTGGAGGTTTGTGGGAGGCTGGCGTACGTAGCACAAAAACACACCTTAAAAGGTAATCGGCGATACAACTCTAACTTACGAAGAACTCACAACTATGCTGACTCAAATAGAAGCCTGCCTTAACTCACGACCTCTGACTGTCTTAAGTGACAACCCTAATGATCCTCTCCACTGACGCCTGGACATTTTTTGATCGGCGAACCTGTGCTAAATGTAGCTGACCAAAGTCATGCTTATGTAGACATAGTTATCGCGATCTGGCGGTTAACACAAAAATGGTCACTGACTTCTGGAACCGATGGTCTAAGGAATATCTTGTAATTCTAAACAATAGGTACAAATGGAATGTTAAAAATAACTTAGAACCGGAAATTATATGTAGTTGTAAAGGAGGATAATGTTCCTCCTGGTAACTGGATTATGGGTAGAATAGTTAAAAAGCATATTGGTCCCGACAATGTGACCCGGGTAGTATCGATCAAATGAGAAGGGAACGTAAAAAGACCTGTATCAAAAATATGCATTTTAACTAAATAATTAGTTTATTTTTAATTGTTATTATATTAAATTCATTAGTCATTTAAAAGTAAAAAAAATCAATTCATATATCAACTTACTTTTGTTAACAAAAACCTTATTTGGAAATATGTAATAAACAAAATATACAAACTATGTAATACTTACCTGTATGTTTTTAAAAATTATTATATACTGTGTTAGATACCTGTGTACTTTACTAACTACGCTATAATATACATATATTAATAGACAGTGAATTGTTGTGTAAGCTAATACAACTAGATGCAGACATATACGGTGGGCGGTTTGTCTTATTTTTATGACAATAAGCCATTAAATATGATGAAAAACAATGTCTGATGATACTATTGTGTCTTTCATGAAACAATTGTATTGAACTATAGTTTGTAATTTTGTTAAGATTTATTTTTTCTTTCATGTTATTTCTTTAAGGACTGCGTCCTTTGGTGGGCGGAATGTCCAAATATGTATACAGTCCACTACCTTAGTCAGTTAAAATAAAAGTGTCATACGATTCGCACGTGTTTTATTGCAATTATTCATTTCAAGACCCTCAATCAATTAGTGATCAATTCTCAACTATAACTCCTTAATAGTATGTTGATCAGTTTCAATCGAACGCAAAACCATTTAGTCTTTTGAAATTCTAGCTCTCCAAGTCTTGGTAAACTATTAACAGTGTACAGACATGATATCACAACACCATCTAGATTTCCCAACCTTTTTTGTACCTTAGCTTTTCAAAAATTCTTATGCCCCAATGAAGCTAATGATAGGTTTAAGGGAGAAATTACTTGGAAATTGTTAACGAAACTCAGTAAGGAATTTTTAATATTTTAAATTAAAAATTCCTTACTTGGTATTGAATCATTAGAATGTCGACGTAAACAATACGACCTTATGTTTTTACACGCTATTTGCAACGGTTTAATTGACTGTCCTGACTTATTGTCGCTTTTACATTTTCACGCCCCTTCTTCACACAATACAAGGCAAACCCAACTATTTAAAATTCCTCGGTTTAATACAAACTATTTACGTAACTCAGTCATGTTCAGATTCTAACAGAAATTACCAGCAAATAGATATATTTAATGTATCCAAAAAATTCTTAAGAAATTATATATAAACTCAAGTATCCTTTATTAGATAGAATGGCTTTGTACATATATTCTATTTTTTTTTGTATTTGTATAGTGTAACTGTGCTTTGTGTGTGTTTAAATGTGTATTCCGTTTTTGGCTTGTGTATCGTGTAATTTTTTGAATATTGTATAGTACTCGTAAGTAGCTGTAGGAATACCGTTAAGCAAATAAAAAAATAAATAAATTTTCAAATAAGGGGGGCTACCTTAACAATCAAATTGCCCCCGTGGGGCGTGGGCCCTACGTTGGGCAACCCTGATCTAGGGAACGTATCCAAAATAAGTAACTTAAAGCTCAGTCCAAACCATTTGGGTAAGTGTAATTTAACCAAATAAATAATTTGCCTTTTCACATTTTACTTGCGATTAACTTAAAAAAACATTCTCTTTACAAGACTTATCAACTGGCAATTTTTGTTTGAGAAATCAGATTCTCATGCACCATATTACAAGATGATATCCCTATTGTATTTCTAGTTGCCTTAATTTTCTGAAATTTGATTATATAATTAAATATTCCATATTTCTTTGAGATGAAATGGCTACTTCTTTTACACTTACCCTAAGTTTAAAAACTCGGTTTAAGACTCGGTCTGAATTTTTATATTAATTTTTAGTCTCCCGTATGTCATATCCCACATATTTTTGACGTAAGGAAGTCAGACTTAGCGCTACCATACTGAATCTCACCTCTTACTCTTAGAATCATAATTAAAATCATGTAAGTAATGTAAAAGCTCTGTTTTACCTCTAATAAACGCTCTAATGACGTCAGCAGCCTTTCGTCTCCTCTCCCTCAGCTTCTGAGCTAGGAACCGTCTCACCCACTTCTGTATGACAATAGCAGATTGCCTCATCTTGAGGTATTGCTTCCTCTGCCGATAGCCTTTCCATCGGCTTTGGATGATGGTCGCTATGTCGTTCTTCTTAATTTGGAAAGCATCTTCCGTCTCGAATAGCGTTTTGGGGAATCGGATGAATATTTTCGTACTGTAATGAATTTAAAGAATTATTTCTTTAGCTAAAGCCACACTTATAAACCAACACATTACAAATTCTGGCGCATTTTTTAAATTTATATACTAAATTCATTCTTAAAAGGCCGGTAACGCACTCGCGAGTCCAGGCATTGAGAGTGCCCATGGGCAGATGGATATTATATTGTGTTATCATATAACTGAGCGATTCTGAAGGCAGTTTTTGCCGAGCACCACTACTATGTGGAACCAGCTGCCCACTGAAGTTTTCGAACCAATTCGACTTAGGGTCCTTCAAGAAAGAGTGTACCAATTCTTAAAACATAAAACTTGCGAGCCTTCTGACAATGTAAGTGTCCATGGACGGCGGTATCACTTAACATCAGATGAGCCTCCTGCCGGTTTGCCCCCTGTTCATGAATGAGTCTAATGGCCTTCGTTATAAATATAAATTTCTACATTATTTAGTTGCTGTATACCTACTGATGACACGAAATTTGAACATATACACAGAGAACATATGCTATTTATGCTATTTAAAAATACTCACTTTCCCATTCTATACTCTTCTTTCTCGTATTGGAGGGCTATAACGAGTTTTTGAACTCCCTCGCGAGCTGGTCCGCGGTAGTTGGGCCATGTATCTTCACTCAAGCACTTGTACCTGAAATTTTTAATTAAAATAATTATTTATAATAATACTTAATAATAATAATTATTATTATTATGTTGAAGAACTGGCTTCAGAATGAATAAGTGTTTGGCAGTCTATGGAAAACTTTTTAACTTTTTTTAAATTAACATTGCCGGATTAAGTGGTCTGGAGGTCTGGGGCAATAAAGGAAATGAAACCCCTTGGCCCCAAATTATATTCTAAATAAAATAACAAAAAATCTAGTTAAGTTTTCCAATAAATAATTTAGTGTGAATAAATTCTTTTATTCTTAAAGTCTCTTTTGTGGAGGTTGCCGGTTGGCCTCGGTGAGAGATACAGCCTTCAATTGTTTAAATAAAGAGTATACTCCTGCCTCAAAGGATGGCAAGGCACCCACAAAAATGGGTATCCATAGGCTGCGATGACCAGAGAAGTCAGTTTTAGTCGGCCTGAAGGGACGTTTAATTTTTAAAATATCCAGGGCTGGTAGAAAAGATTTAAAAAACGGCGTCAAACAGATGCAAAGAGATATCTCTTGCTGAGATCAATGCAGACAAAAGTCAAAAATCAAAAATCATTTAATCATATAGGTAACACAATGTACACTTATGAACGCAAAAAAAAGAAATATACATTAAATGCTTCTAATTTTACATTTACTGCCAGTTCTCAAATCAAGGGCGTAGAACGGAAAAGAAGAACTGGCAATAAACTCTTCGCCACTCTTTTTAATACATCTATCCTTTTCCTATCAAGCTAAATTCTGTATAAAAATATATATACCTTTCTAGGAAAGCTTCGTATGTGCGTCTATACGCGAAGCCTGCTCTTCGTACTCGAAGATTCTCCATCAGACCGAGGTATTTCACTTGGTGAGATACCAGCTTTTCATCGAATTGCACTGAAACCAATAAATCTATTAGCTATCACTAATTATGGTGAAAATATGTTAGTAATGTAAACGCGAATTAAGTATTCAGGTAAACTATTTAACAAATATTTTATTTTTATTAAAGAAGATTTATTTAATAAAATAAATCAGTGGCGCTACAACCTTTTTAGGGGTGGGCCTCAGATTTCTGTATCTGATTCAAAATCGTTTTTAAATCTTATAGCCAAGTCGGTGATAAGCCTCCTGTGCCGGATTCCTCACGATGTTCACCTTCACCGAATGTTATATGCCCACATAGAAAGCAAGTTCATTTGTGGACAGCCAGGAATCGAACCTATGACCTCAGGGATGAGAGTCGCACGCTGATGCCACAAGGCCAGCACTTCTCAACTGTTAGATTTATTTAAATATCGTAACATCATTATCTCGACCAAGAAATATGACCGGGACTTTTCAAAATAGGCTTTATTTCGTTGATCTGTGGTCGGTCTTAAAGTTTTTAAGAGATAGGGTTAGAGTCTATATAAAAAAATATGTTTTGTTCTTCGCTTTTGGTGGTTTAACTTCGCCCTTAGTCTGTAACTACCAAAGAACGCAACGTTTTTGAATACCAGTTCACAAGCTTAGCGCTGATGTCGTAACGTTAGAATCACACATTACAAATAGGTTTAAAATCAGCACAATCTTCCAAATTCCGTTTGTAAAAACTAACCTAGGAGTTCAGGCACCTCTCATTCGAGTTCTTCGCGAATGCAACATAACGCTTACTTATTCAGAGCTTGATATATTTGGAAGTGGGCTGATCAATTATAAAAAAACATTCTTAGGTGCCTATCGGGTACCTAATCCGCATTGTCAAGAAAATAAATGTTTTTAAATTACTAGTAAACACTAAAATTTGTAGTTGGAAGTGTGATATATATTTTTAAATTATGTTTAGCTTATTTGTCATGTATTTTAGAATATATTGTAACATATACTGTAGAAAATGCATTACATATGATATGTGGTTCGCTGCCTGTATCGCTGTTCGAAATTACAGTCCCTGGTCTAATTTTAGTTGTGTCAGACGTATATCAGATACCAAATATGCCTTAAAGTATTGCCACTTTGACCTCTGAGAACCCTTAAAGAGGCTGGCGTAGGCTAAAACAATTTTAAAGATGGGTAGAGACTTACTAGGCGTTTTGAAGTCATTAGGTTTTATACAACGGATGTATGAAGGCTCTTTGCTGCTTAAGATTTTGATTAATTCGTTGAGAGAGATCTTAAACTGCGTTATGGCGGTTTCTGGTCTCTTCTTGCTTCGCAGGTTGAGGTCCTGTAAAATGTAATTAGTAAATTTAATTTGTCTTTCCTGCAATTTCGATTTTGTTGGCGGAGTCAAGCCGGGCCGTGGGGTTGAAGTGCACAGGCGCTAATTAAAGATTTCAGTTGGCGCCTGTTAGATAGTACCGGAGACCCCAGAGCTGGTGCTTTCCTCGCTCAACGAATAAGTATCGCAATACATCGAGGAAATGCTGTAAGCGTTAAAAGTACACTGCCACAGGGACCTTTTCTATTTATTACTATAAAAAATAGCAGAATAACTTAGAGTATGTGGAACGACGGACGTCGAGGTAATTTCATATTCTGCCTTGATGTCCGATGATGAAACTCAGATCCAGGTATTAATCAAATGAATAACTTCTCTGAACACTCTCTGTGGTAAATGCAGTACCCCACATCTTTACGCAAAGCTAAGAGATGAAGCCGCTCTAAAAGTGACTGGTCGATAATTCGAACCGCTCTTCGTTGAATACGGTCAAGTGGAAGGAGCTGGTACTGGCTCCCCCTCAGAGGTGAGAACTGTACTTCATGTGATAAGGATGTAATTTGCGATAGTTCCCATTGAAAGGAAATATTTTATACATTATATTAATTTCAAATTTCACTTTAGTTTACCTTAAAACAGCAGCCAACCGTACTGTTACCAGAAGCAGACATCAGATTCTGCATGTCACGGAACAATAAGTCGTTGTTTTTCTCAATAAACGTCTTCACATTATATGTCACTTCACCCGCGTAGTGGACCAAGCAGAACTCCTGCAATATTAATATAAATCAGTGGCGCTACAACCAGGTCTTGGCCTGAGATTTCTGAATCTGTTTCATGATCATTTTTAAATATAATAGGAAGTAGGTGATCAGCCTCCAGTGCCTGACGCACGCCGTCGCCTTTTTGGTTCTAAGACATGTCGGTTTCCTAACGATGTTTTCCTTCACCGTTCGAGCAAATGTTAAATGCGCACATAGAAAAAAAGTCCATTGGTGCACAGCCGGGGATCGAACCAACGACCTCAGGTATAAGAGTCGCACGCTGAAGCGACTAGGCCAACACTGCTCCATCATCTATTAATATAAGGAAGATTAAACTACAGCAAGGGATGAGCGGTTGGTACTCCCATATGTCAAATTTTAACTTACAAAGGTTCCACTTAACACATAGTGTCGATTCTGAATCCTATCTTTAAATAGCACAATTGTGGCTACGTATGTCGTACGACCTTTTATTAAAGGCTTGATGGAGCAACCGTACTCATTCCTGGAAATCCTTCACAAAAATCAGTTGACACAGCTCATGCTAATGCTACTTACATCACGTCCCATGAGTTTCTGTGTCCTAACATCAACTTTCCGATGGGACTTGAAGTGCGCGTGACCGTCCAACTTCTGAGTCAACTTCTCTAAGAAACTTAGATCTGTCGCGTCACCAGGACGAAGGCATTCGTCGTCCAATATTGATATAATACCTTAAAAAATTTTGGCAAATCATTCTCCAGACTTAATCTAATTCAAGTTCAAATTCTTAAATATGCAATTTCGATATTTAAAGCCTATTCCCTGCCTACGCAATACTGGATGTTTATCCCTATGTCTCGTGTCTCAAAAGTTTTAATAAAGCCGAGTTGACCCCGGCGAATACTATTGTTATTAGTTACCTAATCCTAAATTTATTAGAAGAAATAATATATTGGAATTATAATTAAAATTACTGTTATCTTTAACAGTAGTGGTACTGTAAGCTTGGCCGAGTCTACTAGTTATTAATAAAACATACCTCTATGGCGTGCTTCAATAAGATCGCAAATGACGATGTTGTTGAAGTACTCGACTGGCTCCCACTCGATGCCCTCACGGAGGTACTCCTCCTGCTCCTGCTTGAGGGTGAGCTCGATGAACAGCTGCTGCAGCTTCTCGTTGCAGAAGTTAATGCAGAACTGCTCGAAGCTTCAATCGGAATAATTTTTATGCTGAATTTTACGCACATGACGAAGAAACTAAAAGTCCGTAGCGAAATTACTTGCTTCCGGTTAGTAAACGTCGAAGAATCATACACCCATGTCTATAAAAGATGTACCTGCCCCATGCCTCATTAGGCAAGCTTCAAACACAAAGGAATATTACTTTCCTTGATTTAATCTTATCAGTAGTAGATGAACGGAAGGTCGACATACATTGAAAGTAAATGGATTTATCAAAATACTTAATATTATAAAACAGGCGTAACATAGCTATATTATACTAGGCCTTTTTATTTATTATTTCAAAACAGATTTTCAAAGTATATAATATAAGAATTAGCCACGAAGACACACTTGAAGTAAAATGAACAAAATCATTTGGTAAAATGTAATATTACGACGAGTCAGTGCACCCGTTCTGTTTCGAGTTCTGCACCTTTAAAAAAATGCAATATATTTATTTGAAAATGGCATGATATATACCTATTTTTCGGGAAAATCTCAAAGCCGTAGATGTCCAATATTCCCATTACGGAGGCCCTAGGGTCCCTCTCCCTCGGTGCGAGTGACGAATTGAGTCTGGAGACCAGCCAACTGAAGTGCTTCTCATATATCGCTTTGGCTAAGGCGTCCCTTGCATATTGTGCTTGTTCGAGATCCAGAGGAGTGTTTACGACATCACCTCTTGCGTCAATCGTTCTACTTGTTAGGGCCTCGCGAAGTTTTTGAGGATTCACTTTGAGGAGCTAAAACGTGTAAAGTAGTATCAATGGTTATTGAAATGAATTATCTGTTAATTAATGCTAAAACAATGGATAGCGATAGCTTAAATTACAATTGACAGTGACAAAAATAATTATCTTCACTCAAAACTATCTCCAATAAATATACCAATAATCGACTAACAAGATACACAGACATGGTTTATATAGGGATTTTATTTTGAAAGGTCAGCAACGCATTAGCGATACCTCTGGCAATGAAAGTGTTCATGGGCGGCGGTATCACTTTACATACCTACTATAAAAAAAGGGGGTTTCTTCTAAAAGTGCATCTAAAACATCATAATCAACAACAGCTGTAAGGCCTCATAAGCCTCTATCTGTATTTCCAGCCTTTCAGAATTCTTCCACCAGTTTCTGAAACCTGCAATTTCATGGTAATTCTATTCCACCTACGCAGCCTTCGCTCTACCGCCTTTTTTACACTAAAATCACGCAAATCTGGACAAATTACGTGTCAAAGCTAATATTGTCATAACTGTATCTAAATTATTAGACCGAACCAAAAATAGAGTGTATAAGTTTGACATGTATATCTTTGGTATCGTAGCACCTAATCAAACAGGCCGATTATGAAGTTTTTTGTTAGGAAACTGACGTGGTCGGATTTCATAGCTGGAAATGAATGAAGATCTGTTCAGACAGCTATTGTTAGCTGCAACAGAAATCTTATAATGGGTATTTAATTTATCTTCAAACTATGACCTAACATTTGAAACAACCATACAACCGGTACTGATATTCTGATGATGTACACTTTTCGAAGTTGAGCTGCAAAATTTATTTTGATACTTACATCAGCAACATTAGCACTATTATTGTCATGATGAAGAATCTCAGCATATCCTTTTTCATTCTGGACGAACTTCACATTACCAAGATGAAGTACACTCGCCACGATCTCGAATATCTCTTTCTGTTCGGCCTCTGAGATTTCTATCACCTTCATGGCTTCTAATACTGAACGAAATTGTTCAGCATCGTTTAGCTTTTGACTAGCTGAGGTCTGGAAATAAATAATATTTTTTTAACAAACCTACATGTATTTTAAATCCATAACCAACTTACGTTGAAATAAAATATTGATCAAAGAGGGCTGATATATGAAAGAGTGAGAGAGAGTTACCTCTCCACGGCTCGGAGCGTAAGCGAGATAGGTTATCAAGATATAAAGAAATATGTATGTTGCTAAATTGGCAACATACATGGTCTAGACCGAGTTTTTTGCTAAAGACTTGTTTCGCTTTGATTTACACAGAGAACAAATTATCTACTTGCAATAAAAAAAACTACGACGTTTTTCTATGAAAATTCGATATACTTTTCTCAATATTCGTAGCAGTGATGAGTGTGGGATTGAACCAAAACTCTTTGGAATCGCTGTTGGAACTAACAAAGTAGAAGGCGAAGTAAGTTACCTTTAAAGCATGTTCGAACATTCTTAATGATAATCGAAATCGCTTTAAAACGTTTGATTTGAAGATTCATTTGAGACGTTACAATGATCAATAAAATAATTGCTGGTAATTTATGCTGAATATTCGGTAGCGTTTCAAAGTTAGTAAATTATGGCTACTTAATTAAAAAACTTTTATATATAGTGACGTTAATTACTCTTAAGACGAGTGGAAATGGCTATAAGCTTGATTCGGATGAAAAACGGCATTCGTTTAAAAATCTGGCACTAATTTAAATAAAGCGTTTAACCTACTAGACAATATGTCGCTATGTATACATGGCTAATTACTATGACTGAAATCCCTCACGTGTCACCAAGCCATACGTTTCACGTGTAAGCAGATAATCTTATGTACAGTTGTCAAGAAAGTAAAAAACTAACAGCAAATATGACGTCATTTAGAGCGTACAAAGAGGATTATGGAATCGAGACACATTGCGGCCTTCACACGTACAGTTCGAACCGTAGGAAACAGCCCGCGCCATTCTGATCTGCCGTCCAATCCGTCCGTGTAGACGCGACAAGCGCGTGGTGGTTTGACAGTTCGATGCGGCACATTGGTGTGTACGAACGTTTGTACAGTATTATGCGGGTACCTGTGTGGATGACAATTATTTCAAAATGGAGTTTGGAGCGTGGAAGCAGTGACAGGTTTTATAAGGATATATCGGAAACATCCATGTTTATGGCAAGTTAAAAATAAGTCGGCTTATACAAACCGTAATTTAAATCTTCAAATGAACTCCAGTTGCCAGATATCTTAATGTTGCGGAAAGACGTTCTTCTGGTGTTATGCATTTTCTCATAACTGTATCTTGTTAGTAATTCTGTACGATAGTTCAATAAGCAATAAAATTATCGCCGTCCATCCTTAGGTAATTTTTAAAATCTTCTGGATAGTTTTCTCGTATTTGTTAAAAGAAATGGGTAAATTCCAAATTTTGTCTATATTTCTTAACCCATACACGTCTCCTCTTTAGATTATTAAAACCAACCACAAAACCAGCTAACGCGATCACTAGACGTGTATCCATTTCTACTGTCCGGTTAAAACTAAAAAAACTTTTAAAATGGTCGACATTCACGCGCCATTCCATACTGCGATCTAAACTCTGAAAAGCATTTATAGTACAGTTTTATCTGCAGGAAAGCGAAATAGACAGCTTGAACCATTCAAACTTTATTACAATTGAAGCGTAAAGTAGAAGCACAGATCAGGCGGGTCTAGTCTGCAAGATTTATCTGAGATTGGTGGAGTTCAGAAATGCCATTGAATGAGTGTGAGGGTATTTACTTCAAATGACGATTACAAAGAACATATATATTAAATATATAACTTTGCAATCGTATATAAGTTATATATTAAATTGCATATTTGATTTAATATTTGTATTTCTTAATCTAGTTTATTGTCATTTATTTTTATTGTATTATTATTTTTATTTTTTATATAATAGGGGGCAAACGAACTTGCGGGACGACCAAAAAGGGCAGTCCACGCAGCCCGTAGACACCCATTTTTAGTGGGTGCGTTGTCGGCCTTTGAGGGAGGAGTAGGTTCGCTTTTTGAACATTTATGTAATAGGAGGCAAACGGGCAGGAGGCTCATCTGATGTTAAGTGATACCACGCCCATGGACACTCACACAGCCAGAAGGCTCGCAAGTGCGTTGCCGGCCTTTCAAGAATTGGAACGCTCTTTTCTTGAACGACCCTAGGTCGAATTGGTTCGGAAATACTTCAGTGGGCAGCTGGTTCCACATAGTGGTGGTGCGCGGCAAAAACTGCCTTAGAAAACGCTCAGTTGTGGAACGACGGACGTCGAGGTGATACGGATGGTATTTTGTATTTTGCCTTTAAATATTGTGCACCAAGTGTGTGTAATTGATGCACATGTATGAATTGTGTTTTCTGTATCTTGTGTGTTCTTTTGAAGTGTTTCGTTAGTGTGTCTTTAAATAAATATCAATTGGTCTTTATATGACTAAACACATCTTGCTTGGGAAAATAAAATGATTTCTCTTTAGAAGATACTGATACTAAAAGAGACGCAAATGAATATATCCCACGTCACGCTTACAAAATATTCGTACTCACATTTTCGGTAGTATATTTGTACATCTCCGGCCTTCCTTGCAGCTTCAAATGCTGGAGCAGCGCTTGATCAGCACCAGCCAATAGCTGGTAGAAAATGTGGAAATTCCTCTCTCCAGACATCTGACTGACAACCCTGGACTTCTCCAGGAGATAGTTCAATATGTGACCACCTTCGGGAGCGCCTTCATAGTTGAATTGTATATCCATGTATTTGCCAAATCTGCTGGAATTGTCGTTCCTGTGCGTTTTCGCATTACCAAAAGCTTCGAGGAGGGGATTACTCTGAAGCAGCTTGTCTTTGACAGTCTCCACATTGTGAAGGTGGTTGGTTCGTGCTGCTATGTACTCTAGAACTTTCTTTGAGGCCTCTGTTTTGCCTGAACCAGATTCACCTGTAAATTTCGGCAAAAGAAGATACATTATTATTAGTCGAGACCATAACGATAGCAGCTACACATTCAAAAACTTAAAGTAGACATGCCGGTCACATTTGCCGCGTTTGATAACAGATGGGTCAAATAGACTACTTGGAATGGCACAGTGGAAAGAAAAACGAGGGGACACCCACCAGAAGTCTGGGAAGATGAAATAAAAGAAGAGGCGGGGAGAGATTGGAAGTAGCGAAGACAAATGGAAAAATTTGGAGGAGGCTTTCCCTACGTCAGAGGTCGAGTACTTATATTAAATATATATACACTGGCAACATTTCCTCGCTGTATATTATAAATATTGCATTTTATCTTATTATTTATAGGTTAATATATAAGGTAAATTGTGTGATTTATGATGGCTATTCACAGAAAGCTATCAAACTATCAGCGCGGGTTCTTTTTATTGATAACCAATATCAGTTAATTGCTCTTGTAAAGTAATGGATAGATAATAAAGGGTTAGTACAATAACATTCAAGTTATTTTATCAGGCGCAATAATATACGAATTTTAAAATTTCAACTAGATACATGTAAAAAATACGCCGTCGTCGTTAAACAAAGTTTTTTTTATCGTACATACGTAAATATATATTACTTTTAGTACGCAACACAGACAGGAGGGGGGGGGGTCCTGTAAGACGAAGGATAACATTCATATATTATACAATAAACATTTCGTAACGGCCTAAATAAAGCCTAAATTTCACTATAAAAACGTGTGAAAAAAATATATGGACGATGTACTAAAAGCAAGTGAGCAGTCTTGGGGCTTCAGCGTGCGACTCTTATCCCTGAAGTCGTAGGTTCGAACCCCGGCTGTGCACCAATGGACTTTCTTTCTATGTGCGCATTTAATATTCGCTCGAACGGTGAAGGAAAACATCGTGAGGAAACCGACATGTCTTAGACCCGAAAAATCAAAGGCGTGTGTCAGGCACATTAAGCTGGTCACCTAATTGCCTATTGGATTGAAAAATGATCATGAAACAGATTCAGAAATTGTTTTGCGATTTTGTTTCTAAAAGCTAGTATAATGTCATAGTTAAAGGCTTGACACGGCTAAGTTTTTTATTGCTTAATACTTTGGAAATATATAATACATATAACCTAATTTCTTAGGGATAATGTAGCGGTAAACGGTAAAGGAATGTTTGAAATCGGTTTAATATGTTTTGATACATTCTATACAAATAAACAAATCTCTATATTTTTACTTTAATAGACAATTTACCTGAGATCAGTATGCATTGTTCTCTGTGTTCATAGACTAGAGACCGGTAGGCGTTGTCTGCTATGGCGAATCTGCAATTGTTAATTTATATATTAAATAATTAAATATAAAGTTGCCACCTACTGACTCCTGGTTAATGCACATGACGAATAACCCAGAGGAACAATAAATAACATAAATAATACATATGACGTTGGTACAAGAAACGTAGTTCGCGAAATATACTGTTGTGGAAGTCAGTTCTTTCTCCGCACATTAGCAATAATAAATACAAATAAACTGTTTTTACACTTAAATACAAATAAGAAAACAATAAACAGAGAACACAGTAATACATAATATAAAAACTAGCGTGCTTATCGCGTATAAGCAATATCAGTCAACCCAATAGAGAACTGCAGAGAAGTGCAAAAAAGAGAAGAAATGAGTGTAGTGAAAATCTTACTCAAGTAAATGTTATGTATATACTACATAGAACTTATATAGATAAAATTTAGTAAATACAACATATGTATTATATCTGTTTATGAATCGTTATTGCTTTAGGTAAATCTTTGCCATCAAAAACATAACTTGTAAAAAAACCAACACTCGCAGCGCATTTCTTTTACCGTAAATAATTGTGCAATAAGAAATACAAATCTATATATATATAAAAATGAAACCCGTTTTCCGTTGTCACGAAATAACACGAAAACGGCTTGACCGATTTGTCTGATTTTTTTTTATAATATTCCTTGAAGTACGAGGATGGTTCTTACGGAGAGAAAAATAAAAAAAAATGAGTGAAAAGCTCTAAAAACAACACTTTTCTATATTCCCATACAAAAGATTCGTAATAATACTTAAAAGTCAATTTGAACTTTAATACCATATCATAAAGTTCAAGTGTTAGTGGAAGGGTTCCGGGAAGGTAAATTTTTATTTTTTGACATAATGTATTTGTTGTCTTATCAACTTTCTTTTTTTATCTTACTAGCTAGACCGGTGTCCTGAATAGGAGAATAAATATTTAAAAAAAATAAAGAATCGACTGCGATATATATATAGATATATAGATAGGCGGTACGATGTTCGCCAGGCCAGCTAGTAAACAATAATTTTGTAAACAACATTGTGTAATATTTTATGCCTTCAAAACCATATCATAGAAAACACCCATAACATGCGTAGGGTTATTATAATAATTAATGATTACGTAAGTAAAACAAAAGGATAACTTTATCAAGATAACGTTTATCGATATTGATCGGTGATAGCTGTATATGGTTCAAGGGTGAAGCCGTACCAGCTGCAATGATAGATTACTAACGCTAAAACTGATTAATAAATACTTGGTTCCTTGAATATAGATAATTCCTTTTCGTTTTGTATCTTGGCAACGTAAATTAACTTTGAAGCCTTGTGTTACAATCACAGCTGTGCAATGGACTCTATATGTGCGCAATCAACGCTACGAAGCAAGCATCGTAAGGAAACCAGCATATCTTCAGCACAGTAGGCTGATCTATTTGCCGATTACGGTGAAACAGATACAGATAAGTCAAGACCCAAGGTACCACTCGTTTTTTAGCATAACTCATCAAAATCGCATAAAGGTTATTTTATATTTAATAACACGAAATAAGTGTTCTAAAATCGTTTTAAGAATTGGTACGCTCTTTTCTTGAAGGACCCTAAGTCGAATTGGTTCGGAAATACTTCAGTGGGCAGTTGTTACCTTCTGGCAATATATGTGTCCATGGGCGCTGGTATCACATCAGGCGAGTCTCCTGCTTGTTTGCCCCCTGTCATATAGAAAAATAGATAAGCTGATTCGAATTATGTCCTAGAATCAGCAATGAATGGTGGGAACCACTAAATTTGTCAAAATTTTAATTTGATTGTTAAATCACGCGTTAACCGCTACTAATGTGTTCCTTGTTTACTTGTTCGTACTTTGTAAAGGTTGAAATTTTAGTATGAAACTTATATGATATGATAATATGTAATCTATATATAACCCTCATCATATTTTATATAAGCTATAGAAATTAATTATATAGTGGTGCAAAATTCTGTATGGATCTTGACTTTAAATTTTTGTATGTGCTTTTTAGTTTTTTTTGTGACCCGTATGTGCCTGACACACTCCATTGATTTTTATTGGTATATGCCACTTTCCTTAGCATTTTTTTTTTTTATGTGATAGGAGGCAAACGGGCAGGAGGCTCACCTGATGTTAAGTGATACCGCCGTCCATGGACACTCACAATGCCAGAAGGCTCGCAAGTGCGTTGCCGGCCTTTCAAGAATTGGTACGCTCTTTTCTTGAAGGACCCTAAGTCGAATTGGTTCGGAAATACTTCTGTGGGCAGCTGGTTCCACATAGTGGTGGTGCGCGGCAAAAACTGCCTTAGAAAACGCTCTGTTGTGGAACGACGGACGTCGAGGTGATACGGATGGTATTTTGTATTTTGCCTTGACGTCCGATGATGAAACTCAGCTGCAGGTATTAGACCGAACAACTCCTCTGAACACTCTCCATGGTAAATGCGGTAGAAGATGCAGAGAGATCCCACATCTCTACGCAGCGCCAAGGGATCAAGCCGCACGGAAAGTGACTGGTCGTCGACGACTCGAACCGCTCTTCGTTGAATACGGTCAAGTGGAAGGAGCTGGTACTGGGGAGCTCCCGCCCAGAGGTGAGAGCAGTACTCTATATGGGGCCGAATTTGCGCTTTATATAGTTGCAAGCGGTGGCCCGGAGTTAAGTACCGTCTCGCCTTGCTGAGCACACCAAGCTTTTTGGAGGCTAATTTAGCCTTTCCTTCCAGATGACCGCAAAACTGAACGTTATTCGATATGTCAACGCCCAGTATTCCGATGCTAGCTGAGGCTTTAAGGAGAGTGTCTTCAAAGAGGGGAGTAGCGACAAAGGGAGTTTTTTTTAGCGGAAAACGCGCATACTTGTGTCTTCTTGGGGTTAAATTGGACTAGATTTAGTCTACCCCAGTCCGAGACTCCACGTAGAGGAGTTTCGACTTCAGACACAAGTTTGTTCCGGTACTCATCGACAACAGCCCGAGAAATACCTGCCCGGCCAGTGTAAAAAGTATCCCCAGTGCTGTCGTCCGCATAGCAATGAAAGTTGCTAAGCTGCAACATATCATTGATATGCAGAATAAACAGGGTCGGGGATAGGACACAGCCTTGTGGGACACCAGCATTCACAGGTTTCAGGTCGGAGCATGCTCCGTCGATGACGACTTTGATGCTCCGATCAGCGAGAAAGCTGGAAATCCAGTTGCATAATTTCTCAGGGAGCCCGTAGGCTGGAAGCTTCGAGAGCAGTGCTCTGTGCCACACCCGATCGAAGGCTTTCGCTATGTCCAAACTTACCGCCAGCGCCTCCCCCTTGGACTCAATTGCCTCTGCCCACCTATGTGTAAGGTATACAAGGAGGTCACCAGCTGAGCGACCACGACGAAAGCCGCACTGAGAATCGCTAATCAGCTGGTGGCCCTCTAGATACCTCAGGAGCTGGCTGTTAATAATGGTTTCCATTATTTTGGAGAACAAGGAGGTTATAGCTATTGGGCGATAGTTGGACGGATCAGAGCGATCGCCTTTTTTAGGGATCGGATGTATCGAAGCGATCTTCCAGCACTTCGGAACAGTGCCGAGCGTGTAAAGGTACCGGAAAAGGCGCGTTAGGACCGGAGCCAACTCAGGAGCACAAGTACGCAGCACAATTGGAGGGATGCCATCGGGCCCGCTCGACTTATGGATGTCCAAGGAAGACAAAGCTTTACGGATAGCACGTTGCCGGAATATAACTTCGGGCATCGTAGTATCACACCGCAATAATGTAGGTGGTTCCTTCCCTTGATCATCCAAAGTGGAGTTCGACGCAAAGAGACAGCCTAGAAGATCGGCCTTCTCTTTCGCGGTATGAGCCAGTGAGTCATCCTCCCTATGCAGTGGTGGAATTGAGGGCAGACAGAAATTCCCAGACCAGAAGGCTCGAGTTCCCGAAGGGAGGTGGGCCAATTTCTCACCAAATCTGGCAATGTGCTCTGACTTTGCTTTAGCGATTTCTCGCTTGAAGGACCTGGAGGCTGAATTGTATGCTTTTTTACGTTCGCCGATAGTCACATCACAGGATGTTACCGCTTCTGCCCAGGCTTTAAAGCATTCACGCTTACGGCGCAAAGCCGCTTTGCAAGAACGCCTAAACCAAGGCTGGGACTTGCTACCGACCGGCACCGCAGAGAATGGAATAAAGAATTCAATACCCTGCAGGACCACCTCGGCGACAGAGTCAGCGACGGCATCTGGAGTACTCGACGAAAAGCAAATGGGCCCCCAAGGGTAGGACGCAAAAAAAGACCGCATCCCATCCCAATCTGCTGACTTATAGTGCCACACGCGACGACAGCCCGTGAAGCTAGGCCGAAGAGGGCGCGTGAACGGCGCAATGCTCCGGACCACACAATGATCTGATGAACCCAATGGCGGTTCAACAGAGACTTGGTAGTTCTCCGGATGTGAAGTCAGCAGAAGGTCCAACAAAGAGGGTTTATGACCATCCACATATGGTATTCGCGTAATCGCAGGGACCATTTGCGTCAAGTCGTAAGCCAAAGCAAAGTCGTGAAAGGATCTTCCCGCATGATCGGTGGTTTCTGAGCCGAGCCAATCGGCATGGTGGGCGTTAAAATCGCCAAGTATCACGATTTCAGCGGTAGGAACCCTTTCGAGCAGGGAATCTGTAGCCATTTGGATGTGCTCAATGAGTCGGTCAGTTTCGGTATTTCCGCTATGGGACCTATACAGGCATGCGTAGAATCGCGGTTGGTCATCGCAGTCTACGCGCAGTCAGAGGTTAGATAGGTCCCTTCCTTCAAGCGTCCCGAGGCGACGAGAATGGGCTCCGGGAGTCTCTCTCACCGCACGAAACGCGAGTACAATAAGGCGAACTTATTGCATCACTTCACGCCGGTTTTCTGAGAGACAGTGGTACTGCCCCGGTCGTGCCTGCCCATTTGGCTGAAGCCCGAAGGCAACAGCATGGCACTCCCACTAGGAAGGGGTTGACTGATTGCGCTGATGAAATAACCTCTGTCACAGGTTATTTCACCAGTGGGCGATGGGGTCGTCACGTCCCGACGCCGAAACATGATGCATGCTTAGCATGCTTTTATATAAGTTTCATCAAAGTTTAGAAGTTTCTTATGTTCACGCATTCCGGAGGTAAATAATAAATACATAATGTATCTTCTTATTGAAACTTAATTGTAACAAAATCATAACATGTCACGTGTAAAGTATGAACATTAGGAATGTTATAAAGATTTGATTTTGACTAAATGTTACAGGTTAATAATAATTAAAATCGTAATTTTCTTCTCCTTCACAGTTCCTGTATTAAAAGTTGATCTTTATATTGTTTGATGGATGACATATAATACGGCGAAAGTTACTAAATAAAATTACACTTTACCGACATCAATCGCCTGTCTATGACCGCCGACAGTTTGACATATTGCGGCCACAGACAATATCTATGTGAGATAATCTACTTACACGTGCGGTGGCGCCTCGAAAAATGCTTTCTTGTAGTATAGTTTCGTTTTCTCCTCTGTGTAGATTGGGAGATTTTTGTACGGGTTCACAGATATTAGGACATTCCCAATATAGGTCTGGAAATTAATTAATTAATTAACTTTAAATTTAAGAAATTAATTGCTTGAAAAATCAGTGAAAAAATCAGTTATTTTTTGAAGTAAAACTTCTTTAGGCGCATGAGGGTATAATTTTAAAAAAAACGTCACGAAGATGTGCAGCGTTTTTGTCGAAGAAAAAGAAGAGAGCGCTTGAGACCGATTGAGAGTGGAAAGGGTACAATTACCTTATAGAAATTCTATTTTTAAAATTAAAATTTCGTAAAGAGAATTTATGATATATTTATATTTTAAGCAAAATAATATATTGAAACCTCAAATGACGAATTGTAAATTAATATGCCACATGTTTTTATTATGGAAGAAATTAATTTAAAAAAATAAATTTATTATTTGTATTAATTTTCGACACTTTTAATATTTTAATGACAATTAAATTCCTAACATATCTTCCTTTTTCCCGCCCTCTAAGTCTAAAGTTTTAGATTTGTATAAATATGAACATGACTTAAAAATTTATTTGTCAAAGATGTTTGACTTCTGACTTGTAGGTAGTACTTTGTACGCACGCACTTTTTTTATGAACAGGGGCAAACACGCAGAAGCATCTGATGTTAAAAGTTAAGCCTCTCAATGCTAGAGGGCGAGTGCTGGCGTTCCAAGAATCAGTACGCTCTTTTCTTGAATGACCCTAAGTCGAATTGGTTCGGAAATACTTCAGTGGCAGTTAAATTATGAAGTGCAAATGTGACAGATTGCATAATACAAAAGTTTGAACTAAGGACTTACATAGATAATATTCTCGTTAAACCGTTTCCGAAGATTGTCTATGAAGGCAGCTTCAGAGAGGAAGTCCTCGAGTAGCACGAAGTCTTGCACCCCGACACGTTCACGATGCTGTAGCGCGTGCTCCATTACGCCAGCCACAGATAATGGCCGTTGGAGCCTATAAAAAAAACATCTTTATTAATATTGTTGGAAATATTGTATTTATTTACACTTACACAAAGAAGAAAACAATAAACATAAAACACAGTAATACATATAAAAACTGTGTGTAGTGGGCTTATCGCATATAAGCGGTATCAGTCAACCCAATAGAAAACTACAGAGAAGTGCAAAAAGAAGGAGAAAGGAGTGTAGTGAAGATCACTCTCAAGTTAAGTATATATACTACATAGAACTTATGTAGATAAAATTTAGCAAATACAACACACACATTTTTCTGTTTATGAATCGTTATTGCTTTAGGTCAAATCTATGCCATCAAAAACATAACTTCAAAAAAAAACAAATCTCGCAGCGCATTTCTTCTACCGTATAAGTTGTAAGATCAATATAATAGTCGGTTAATTTATTTTGTCCCTGCTTAAGATACTTTCTGTTTAAGTTATTACGTTATTAGCTAACCTAACAACATCTTATATTGACCATATGAATATTACAAATTATTTATCTAGAAAACAGGACCGAAATCGCAAAAAAAAATTCTTGATTTATACACAATTGTATTCTAAATTTAAAGGTTCTCAGGATGCTGGAAGTGCCTTAGTTTTGATGATCTGACCGATAATGTCTATGAGTGAGTGAGTAACAGAATTAAGAAACTTTGTCTAGTTATAATTGAATGAAATATACCGTGTTTATACAATGCATGCTTGGTAACTGAAAAGGCAGGCTTCAAATTTTACCCAAAACTAAGTTATACGGGGTATGAATGGACTGAACCAGAAAAGGATGGTACTTCTGATTTATTGATCGACTTCACGGGTAAAAAGCAATTCCTCACCCGATCTACAAGAATTGGCAGATGTCTTCCACCACAGCCAGGGTAAATTTCTTATCTGTAACGTATATCAGAATTTGTCCTCCGATGTAACATAGACTAAATACACAACGTATCACAACCACAGACCACACTAAAAGCTGACAACTTGCAATTAATCACCACAGATTATGCTATCGACGGAAAACCCTACCGCCTACGTATGTATTTTTAATAAAATAATGACATCATGTCAGAAAATATAATATGTTTAATAACTCACCGGCACTTCTCGATTCGAAACAAAAGTAATTCACAACCACTGTATCCCATTTTATTGTAATTACTAACGATCCTACTAAAAACAACAATCAACTGAGAAAAATAAAGTCATTAATATAATGTTCCTGGGAAGTGCAAATATTGTTAGGGTTGCAAAAATTAGGTTAGTTAAGGAGAAAATATCGTTAATTTTTTTTTGCGGTCTCCCATTTATTATGTTCATTGTGGTGTACATTATGTTTTTAATGCTATATATATCTACAATATATGCTACAAGCTATATTTTCTAAAATATATGACAATTATGGTAAACATAAATGATACAAACAATAAAAATACTAGTACTTTTTTTGCTTAAATAGCTTAAAGCTTTTTGTTAACAATTTGTTAATTATTTATGAAAATTCACTTTTGGCCATTGTTTTGTGTACATTTTTGTGAAATTCATAATTTTTTAAGGTGTCAATATACAATATGAAAAGTATTTACTACATTAAAACAAAATAGAAATATACAAAAGGGAATATTTCAAAAACATATTTTTCAACGATCAAATTGTTTTCTTAGTTGTTAATCAACACTAAATTGAATAAAAAATCGCATTTTTTTTTTAGTTTAGATCCCAAAAATACTATAAGTCCAAAAATAAGTTGTATTAAACACAATGATTATATATCTTTGTATATAATCTACTGACAGCCCTATTAGCGGATATTCGGTATCACTAACCCTATCCTGAGTTGCCGTAGTTAACGGGCGATATGATGCGAGTTATAATTAGCATGTAATCACTATAAACAATTGGTCTCTTTTATATAAACTCTTGAATTAAATCATATTTAAACAAATTCATTTTGAATGGTTTTTTGTGCTTAGCTTTTGGGTTCTATATTAAACTCGATGCCCCCGTTAACTTCGTTTCACCGTAATATTTACTTAGCCTAGATTTTAGTAGCTACAAACCAACATATGGAACAATTTGCTAAACCAAAGAGACTGTTCACTTCTCCGGAATAAAAACACTTAAATAAAACAATTTTTTTTGTTAAATTTTTCTCGAGTAAAATTCCTTAAAATTTTGCGCTTAGCAACATATTCTGCGATTCATTTTTGTTTATTATAGATAATAATATTATATGAAGAGGACTAAAATAAGCATATTACGTACACGTACGTATCAACACAATATATCATGAGACAAGCTCTGAGGTGTTTTTGGTGGTCGGGGTCTCGCTACCCCTCTGACTAGAGGGATTTGAGTGTAGACCCAGCCCCACAAGCCCCGCGTCAAGCTCGACATCCTTGGCGCGGCCTGCGCAAGCGCATTTTCACCTCATTAAAAAAAAAGTAAGGATGTTTGCTAAACTATTGGAGTTCCATTCCGGTCCAGCTTAATGTAACGATAGTACCAATATACGACTAAAAATTAAAAGTCAGGACATTAAGATGGCTGATTCACTTGTGGAGTGTGACGATTGTATCACGACCTGAGACGGATTTGGCTTTACTTAGTCATGCAAACACTAAAATATTCCTCGAAATCGCAAATGTTATATGCATACGTTTGTTAAGTATTTAAGAATAAACGAAAACATTACAACAATGTAATGTTTTCGTTTTGTTTTTTGTATTGATTGTATTTATAGTTTTCTGTACTTATTAGTAAATTAAGGTTATTAATATCTCACAAATTAATACTACTTGTAACTTGAGTACTTACTAATTGCAGAAGGAAGGATTGCAACGTTGCGAAAATAATTGTTAATAATAATAATAATTTATTTATTGCAAGAATATGGTACAAAAATGTGTAAGGTGGTACAATCGTAAATTTGCATATTCTGACACACACAATGACGCGCAAATTTGTCTTTAAAGGAATTTTACATTATTAGTCATATGATTTGGTCAATTCTTATATTATTTGTATCGTACATATCATATCATACTTTATTAAATTTATATCAACTACAGTGTCTGTCTCACGCAAATAATCATTTATTGAATAGGCAAAAGATCTTTTAATTATTTTGGTAAATTATTGTAAACCTTAATTGCCATACAAAAGGGGTTTTTTTCGAAACAGTTCCAGATTGATTTTTGGCACAGCCGACTTCTACATTCGACTTAAAAATATGTATTTTTCTGGGCGCGAATAAGGATATTTCTAAAACATAAATACAGGGAAGGGTTCTTAAATAATGGTACCCAACTATCAAGACAGTTTGCTCCACAAATTGCTCTAATACATTTCTTTTGAGCCTTAAATACCCTATTTACTTCGACTGAATTCCTCCAAATTTGCCCCGTTTGTGGCTAATACTCCACGGTATCAATCTCCTTCATAGACTTTTATAAACATTATACTTTGACGGCCTGTCAAAAATATTTTAGTCAATAATTCAATTTAATAATCGACATGACATAAATATGAATATTGAATGTATTGAAATTTTCTAGAATTTATGAAGAGAAATGGGTTAAAATGGCCTCTATTTAAAGCTGAGTTTTATAATTACATAATTAACATATTTGATTATCCTTATTAGCGAACTCTCCCGACAGTATTTGTGTCAGTAGGTCATTGCTAGTCGAGTAGGATGCGTGCCTGCTAATATGCATTCGATGACATCATTGTATATACAGTATATAGTAATGTTTATGGTCAATAAAAAAATAAGACAGTCTGAGATTGAGACAGAGGCAAGCAAATCAAGTTTACAGACACTACAAAAGCGTTAGGTACCCATTACGTTGATCTTAAAGATATATTTAGATTTAATTGAAGACTATGTTAACGATTTATCGGATATTTTCTTAATGTTTGTGAATTATAATAGTATTTATTATTATTATAAATATAATAATAAACTTTATTTGCCTGATCACAATATTGCATTTTACGGGTTTACATGCTGCATGAGGCTGGTGCCTATAATTGGACGATAGAAGTCCTGTTACGGTTACCAGCCTTCCATCGCTGACAGCTTACAGAGAGATAACTAAACAAACAAAAGCATGAGTGGTGTGGGTGTGTGAATATGTGTAATGGTGTAATTAAACATGTGTGAAAGAATTTAATTTCAATTGCTATGGATATCAAATTGTTTCTGGCATTCGTAATCAAGGCTTTTTAGAAATTTAGAAACAGCCATTTTATTTTATTTTGTTATTTTGACTGGAAATTTAAAATGAAGAATTAAGTTTATTGTACAAAAATGGCCCAAGAATGCAGAAAAGGTTATGCGAATGTTGCGAGCGAAATAGATTTCCTTTGCAAATTGTGCCCTTCCGCCATTTGTTAGTCAGTGTGATGGGTAAAAAGTTAGTCAAAAGTCAAAATTTCGGTCAGAATTTATTTACATAGGTAACACAATGAACACTTATGAACGTCAAAAAAAGAAATATACATTTAATGCTTCTAATTTTACATTTACTGCCAGTTCTTTTCAATCAAGGGCGTAGAACGGAAGAGAAGAACTTCCAATAAACTCTCCGCCATTCTTTTTTTATTGCCAAGTTTTTTGTTTTACACAACGTTTGGGAGCTGCAACCATTACACCATGTTCCACATGACATCTGAAGTAATAAATAATAGTGTATATATATATATATATATAAAGTTGGGTATGTTGCCTTAAGTTAGAATTGAGGATAAACTTTTGTCTTAATGTGAGGACATCCCACATTGTGTAAAATGCAAACGGTAAATCGCCATATGGGCGACTGGCGCCTACTTTGAGAATAGCACGTTGTGCTCTTTCTACTTCGAGGTGCCTTTTGGCTTCGACAGCGGACAGATACGTTATCATATCTAATATATAAAATTCTCGTGTCGCGGTGTTTGTAGTTAAACTCCTCCGAAATG